TGTGTGGAATGGGGACCCCGAGGCTCAGCGACAGAACCCCCAAGAGTGAAGGGCGGACTCACTACCCTCCCTCCATCCTGGAACCACCTCTGGGCCCCTCACCCAGGCTGCAGAGTCCCTGGGAGTCCGGAGGACTTGGGAAGGCTGGGCTCAGAACCACTGCCCACACCAGCTCCATCCTGGCCAGCAGGACCCACGTCAGCCAGGCCTGGGGTCTGTGCGCCAGCCACAGGACAGGAGGATAGTAACAGAGGTGGAAGCCTGCACAGGGAAGGCAGCGAGCCCTCCAAAAAACAGCAGGGCTGCTGGGGCAGGACCTCCCCTTGTCTCCAGTCCCCAGGGAATTAACTGTGAGAGAAATCTGGTTTTTACTTTCTGATGCAGGGAAAACAAAACAAAACAAACAAAAAACCTCTCCTAGAATAAAGGAAAGGGGGCTAGCAGGATGCAGAAGGTGTTGTCCAGGTTCGAGATTCTCAGTCCCAAAGGCTCCCAACTAGAGCAGGGGAGCGTCTGGGGAGTCAGGAAGGAAAAGGGGCTTTGAGGGATATATAGGAGTTTGATGTTCCCTGATCTCCAAGGCTGGACACAGACCCTCAGGTTCTTGTGTAATCAGAAGCTAAACAGAAGCATCTGGGAGCCCTGCCTCACCCACCCTCACCGACAATTCCTCTACTTCTGTGCTCTGAGGAAACTAGGCACCGTGCTGGGCACTGGGGACCCAGCAGGATGGTCAGCTTAGGGCCTGGGAGCTGGGGCCCCCCGAGCAGATGGCCAGGGAGTTCAGGCAGGTGTGGACAGGATGATAAAGGAAGTGGGACATCTCTCCAGCCACACGAGGGCCAGCAGGGCCAGCTGGGGCTGCACTCTGAGGATAACGCGGGGGGGGGCCTCCCAGGGACCCAGCGGCTTCCCCACCCGGCACAGGAGGGGTTAACAGGGCCACTGGGCAGCAGGGTCTGGGAGCTGTGCCCCTCCTCTCCCTCCCTCCCTCCCACCCTTCCGGGGGTGGCTTGGCTGGCGGCTGTGTTTACAGAAGCCAAGGCAGGCGTGGCCTGGACAAAACTAGCTGTGGAAGGGGCCCAAGCTGGGACTCAGGGGACCCAGGCGAGACTCCATCCTACTCTGCCCATTCCTCCTGCCCCAGGGCCCCCGAGGCCACAGCCACAGCCCTGCCGAGGCCTCAGTTTCCCCACCAGGGCCTGGTCCAGATCCGCCCTTAGCTGGCCGCGCCTCTCTTTATTAGGCCCCGTCCCCGTGCCCTGCCCAAGGCCCTGGAGCCCAGGCTCCTCCTGGAGGGTGAGCGGGGCACACTGCACATCTGGGGTGCCTGCGGTGGGGAAAAGTGGAGCCTCGGGGCTCTGATGCTGCTCCCCCAAAACAGGCCGGTCCTGCCCGCGACCTGTGGTCCCTGCTGTGGGGTCCTAGGAGCAGATGACCGAGTTCACACCTGGAGCTCGCAGGAGGCTGGACGTTCAGTTCAGCGGCTCCCCGTCAGACCCCACAGTAGGGCGCTGCCTCTTGCTCAGAACTCTGCACAGCCTGCAGCTCCCGCACTCACCTCGCTTCTGCATGAAGCTGAACAAGTCGTCCAGGAACTCCTTCCTCTTAGGGTCCCCATCGAGTTCATAGAGCTGAGGGCAGAGGACAAGGCTCAGTGGATGCCAGAGTGGGTGCCGCAGGCTGAGGGCCACCACCAGGGACAGACCCAGGCCCATTCCTCCGGAGCCGCGGGGAAGTCCCAGCTGCCGGGACGGAGTTCACATCGGCGGCTCCGGTACGGGGGTCCAGTCCCCACTGCGCAGGAGCTCGGAGCCGAGCCCGAGGCCCAGGTCTGTGCAGGACGGTCCCTGACACCTGTCCGGCAGCTGGGGCTCCCACCGTCCCTGGGCTTGTGGTTGTCACCCCTGTCTCTCGGCCTCTATCACCCTGTGTCTCCTTGCAGGACCCCAGCCTGCTGGATTTAGGGCCCTCGCGTCTCCATCTCTAACCAATCATAATCTGCAAAGACCTGATTCCCAAATGAGGTCCCTCTTACAGATCTACGGGACGACACTGTTTCATTAATTCATTCGCAGCACTGGGGGTGGAGCCCAGGCCTTTGTACCGAGTTCCACCCATGGCCTTTTAATTTTTTATTTGGAGACATTTGTCTCACTAGGTTGCTAAGTTGCCAAGGCTGAGCTCAAACTTGGGATCCCCTGCCTCAGGCTCCCAGAGTGCTGGGGCGACAAGCCTGTGCCACCATGCCTGGTTCCAGGGGGTGGATTTCTGGGGAGCAGACATGATTCGTCCCACAATGGCAGCACCCGAGTAACCTTACTGGGATCATCATGACGCCCAAGATGGACGCCCCCTAGGGCCGTCCTGAGAGCCACATATAAGCATAACTGTTCCCAAGAGTTGGCTCCATTTTGCGGATGAACAAACTAAGGCACAGCACAGCAGGGGAGACTGGAGCTGGGGAGCATTGGAGGTGCTGGGCACAGCCCTCTGACCAGCTCCCCTGGCCTCATCCCTGTGCGTAATGTGAGCCAGAGAGCAGGGTCATCCCAGCATCTGGGAGGCTGAGGCAGGCATAGAATGGCAAGTTTCAGCCAACATGGACAACTTAGCAATACCCTGTTCTCAAAATAAAAAATTAAAAAGGGGCTAGGAATGTAGCTCAGTGGGAAGGCCTGGCTTCTATCCTCAATACAAATAAATAAATAGCCAGGGACCATCTGCCTGCCGGGGCAGGGCTGGTCAGGGAGGAAGTGACAGGATGTCACCATAGGAGGGGAAATGCTGTCTGAGGCACCCGCTGGGGACCTGGGGGGCAGGGGAACCCTGGCCCCAGCAGCCACCAGCTGTAGGACCCACCAGTCCTAGAGGGTGGGCAGGGCAGGCTGGGCAGGGGGCAGCGGGCAGAGATAATTAGAAAGTGGAGTTCAGGCGGGGGGCCAATTTGCTGGGGAGAGGCAGGGGCGAATACCAGGCTTCAAATTAAGCTCCAGGGAATGTGGCTGGCTGGGCTGTGGGGGGCCTTGAAACCACCAATTAGGCCTCGGCTGGGATAATCTGTCATTATGTGCCCAGAGAGTGGCCGTGGAGCTCTGGGCTGGGAAGCTGGGACCTTCCCCCAGCTTTCCTTCAGCCGACCTGCCTTTCTCTGGGCCTCAGTTTCCCCATCTGCATAATGGAGACAGGGGAGGGGGTGCTTCTGGAACAGGACTGAGAGGACAAGGCATCCGGACCTCATCCCTGGGTGGTCGAGGCCCAGCAGAAGGCCAGCTGTCGGCCTTTGTCTGAGCCCCGCCCCGGCCAGCGCCAGACTGGCCGGCCCGCATTCCTGCGCTGATTTATGGCGGCCTGGGAGGCCCTTTTCCCCTCCGCTGCCCGAGGGCTGCGGGGCCTGCAGGTAGACCGGGCCGGACCAGCCAGGCCTTGTCCTTCCAGTCCTGCCCAGCTCTACCTGCGCCTGCGCCGGCCCTGGGTGCCCCTCACCCACTCCTCCCCCACGCCCTTCACAGAACCTTCCCAAAGCCCAGCCCAGGGACTCAGTCTTTGCGCATGTGTATGGGGTCTGTCTTTGCCCCAGGGCCTAGAATCCAGCCGAGTACACAGAGACTGCTTTATAAATGCTCCTCAAGCCAGGTGCAGTGGTGTATGCTTGTAACCCTAGCTACTCAGGAGGCTGAGGCAGGAGGATCTCAAATCCAAGCCCAGCTTAACGACTCAGTGAGACCTTGTCTCAAAATTAAAAATAAAAAGGGTCAGGGATATGGCTCAGTGCCAAGGCCCAGCACTGCCTGCACACCCTCACAAAGACTTTATCGTGGGCACTCAGAAACGTTAAGACCACTAGTGTCCTAGCTGGGGAAACTGAGGCCAGGGCAGAGAGAGAACAGTTTGCTCACAACAGGAGGGCAGTGGGGCCATTAACCTCCAGGCCAAATGGTGGGCTAACAGGCCAGTTGCTGGGCCTGGACGGACACCCATGAAGCCAGGGCATTGATTCAGAGCCATAAAGGGAGCACCCACAGAGCCCTCCAGCTGCCGGTGGACAAGGCAGCCTTAATGGCCGTTGCTCTAGGCAGCTAACAACAAAAGCTTCAGTAAAGGCTGCCCCAGCTTTATGGGGGCTCTAGCCTCTAGTTCCGTTCCCCTGTGGGGTGTGTCCCGCCCTGGCCAGCTGGCCGGAGCCCCAGGGGACAGTGTCCAGGCACCCCCTGCCCCCCCACTGCGGTGACCAGGCCCCCCCTTGTGGGCGAGCAGGCATAGCTGCTGATCATGGAAAGGCTTTGAGGTCACACTGCTGGGCCACAGACCCAGACCCGTGTCAAATCCAGGCAGGGGTCTGAGGTGGACCTGGCACTGCTTTAAGGAAGGGGCCAGAAAGCACTGAGGTGGTGACCCAGGCAGCCCAGAGCCTCAAACAGGTTGGGAGAAGCTGGGAAACCCCCTGCGGAGGCCGAGGCCTAAGGAACCGGCCCCACCCACTCCGCAGCCTGACCCCCTCCCGCCATGCCGGTCAGGAAGGCTGAGGGCCTACACTGAGGGTGGGTCCTGAGACCCACTGTCCCCTCTCCAGGCTGCCGGCTGCCTCCAGCAGTGCCCCCCACAAAGCCACACCCCCGGCAGCGGCCTAGGGCATGGCACTGGCGCCCCCACCCCCACTTTCGCTTTGACAGACACCCCGACCTTCTGGTGTACGCCTGTCCCTCCCTCCCTGGCCTACATCATGAAGCTCTGTGGGTCCGCACATCTGGTTTCTGGGCTGTCTGCTTTGGACTGTGACGGATTTTTGTCTGACCACCCCCCCACCCCCCGCCCGTCTAAACCCGGGTACACAACCGTTTAATAAATGCTTCCTAAATGAACTTCGTTTCTCAGCCTCGGCACCCGTCCTTAAATCGGCGCCTTGCTGGATTCAGCTTAGGGCAGCCAGGGCCTGGCTTCCCCTGTCCTGGGTCCCGGGAACCTCAGCCCTTTCCATCGGAGATTTGGGTGCAAAACTGGAGCAAGGGGGGGAACGAGAGCTGGGGGGGGCGTCCAGCAGACACTGGCTAAGTGCACATCTTCCTTCCCCACTGTCCACCCAGGGAGTGGGGGTGTCGCACCCCCCTGGCTCCGGGATCAGGCCTCTCTTGGAGGCGCTTATCCCTACCAAGGAAAGCAGGGTCTAAAACACACATGCACGCCCATCCCCGGGCCTTTGCACCTCCTGTGGCCTGGGTATGTGGGTCCCAAATCTCCACAGCCTCCTTCCTCCCCACCATCGCCTTGGGCCCTCCGCACTCTCTGACCCTTCCTTCTGCTCCAGTTTCCTTTCGGAACTTCGCACAGGGCCTGCCCGGTGAATGAATGAAAAGAATAAATGAATCTCCTTGGTCCCAACAGCTCTTGGCTCTGGGTGCTGGTAGAGCTGAGGGACAGAGATGTGGGGGGCTTGGGGATGGACCGTCATGGCCCTTCTAGGTCAGACCTGGCATCCCGGACTCAGGTGTGGCCCAGGAGGAGAGGGGTGGTCCTAGCCCTTCGGGCAAACTGAAGTTCCCCTGGGGTTTGCTGCTGCCCGGGCTGAGACAATTCTGAGTGCCCCTAAGCAGCAGGCAAAGGGTGTTGTCAGCATCCCGCAGGGAGGAAACCCCTGGGGACTGAGGGTGCTTAGTCCTGGCTCGGGACCCCCTAGATGGTGGGAAACGTGAGGAAAGGACCCTGGGGCTTGCAGAAAACCCAACAGCGAGAGCCAGTGTCAAAATAGAACATTTCAGCCAGGCATGGTGGTGCACTCAGGAGGCTGAGGCAGGAAGATGACTAAGACTTTGAGGCCTGCCTGGGCTACACAGTGAGACTCTTTCTTAAAGGGAAGGGGGGATTTAGCTCAGTGATTCAACCACCTGAATTCAAGTCCAAGGACCCAAGTTCAATCCCTGCATACCAATAGTAAATTTTAAAATGGAAAAAAAAAAAAGAGGGCCGGGGATTTAGTTCAGTGGTACCATGCCTGCCTTGAAAGCACAAGGTCCCGAGTTCTATCCCTGGTACCATAAAAAGAAAAAAAAAACAAACAAAAAAATTATAGTGACCAGGAGACAGTTGTGTTGGAACAGGCGTGGGCTGCCCTCGCCTAGGTCCCAGGTTGGACCCAGGGCAGCCACCCCCGGTCACATTCCTGCCTGTGGGCCCCACCTTAGCACTTCCACTGGCTGTGGGAGCTGAAGGTGGCACCCCCCGCCAGGGGCCCTGGCTATAAAGAAACGGCCCCGTCTGTGTCTGTGGGGCCCTGAGAACCTTTGTCCCCCAACCGCCCAGGCCATGTCTGCTCAGCCCCCTGCCGCGACTGGGTGACTCCAAAGTCCTCGGGGCCCCACCTGGGGACGAAGCTGCTGGGCAGGTGGGTGGGGTGGACCCCAGTGACTACAGACAGCACCCAGGCCACCAGGAAATCACGAAAAAAAAGAGGCTGCCCTAAAGCCCTGGGCTCGGAGTGCGG